CTCTGGCTTCCTGTTTTGTTGCGGGCGTGAGCCTTGAGCTAGGCTGGGTGGGGGTTGGGGGGGCAGTGACGGATGGGAGTCTTTTCCCGCAGGGTGGGGAGGTAGAAGGATGACACGCAGTCCCGGGTACAAACATCCCTCCCCTCGGAACTCCCAGCTCTGACCTGCAAATTCCCTGCAGCCCCCGACCGGTTGACGAGGCCGAGAAGAGAGCGGACTGACTCCCAGCTGGTTCCAGCCCGGCAGGCCTGCAGGCCGTTGCCGGCACCCAGCTTGCGGGCCGCGTACAACGAAGACGCGTTTCTTCTAATCCCTGAAACGCTCTCTCTTGCTGCATCTCACTTCGGTCCTGGAGGCGGAGGCTGAGCAACCGGGTTCGGAGACCCTTGCCCGGACACAGACCTCTCCCCTTATCCCCCATCAAAAAAAAAAAAAAAATGCACCCACCAGCCACCAAACTCACCCCAGCGCCCCCAGAGCCCGCCTCCGAGGCCCGAGCGCTCCCCTCACTCCAGGATAGAGACATCCCTGGAGCTTGCCGCCCCAGGCCTCGCAGCGGGGAGAGGGGGCGCCCCGACTGGGATCCTGGGAGTTGGGAAGGGGCGCCGCAGCCCTCCAGTCTCAGGAGAAGGGGCGCAACCACGGCTCCTTTCCTGGGCTTCTGGGGGGTCTAGGACACTAGTTAATGGCTTCGTTGGGATCCCGGCAGGCAGGGGGACAGTGATGCCTCCAAAAACTCTCCAGTTTCTCCAGAAAGTCCAGCCTGTGAGCACCTGAAGGGCAAGGCGCAGCGGCTTGAGAGATTTCACTTTCTCCACGTCACCGCGTCAAATGACTGTTCCTAGCCCCACACTGTCCTCACAACCCCGAGCCGCGGAGGGTCTTGTTATGGTTTCCAGTGCGCCCCCCGTCTAGAAGCAAAGCCTGCAGGCGCCTCCATTTCCCTGCCCACTGGCTGGTTTCCCGCATCCATCCTTTCATCCCTTAAAACACCCTGCAGCCCCAACCTGGACCGGCTGGGGTGATCCACAGAGATGATCTCCCGTCGGGCAGATTCCGAGCCAGTCGCCGCCCTTTTTAGACAATTCTCCCCTTCTCTTCTCTCCCTTTCCTGGCCGGCCTCAGCCTCTTGGTTGTGGCTTGGTTGTTGTTGTTTTGTATTTTTCTGTTTCTGTTCCCGATCTTTCTTCCTTTGTCATTATCTCCTCCAGGCCCCCCACCCCACCCCACCCCACTCTCACTGCCTCCGGTGGAAGGGAGAGGGTTAAGATGTTCTGGAAACGCTGCTCGTAAAGCTGCTTGGATACATTAGAAACACATGAATATCCTGAAATACAAAGTGTCTTTAAAACCAACCCAGGAATGTTTATCCTAAGGCTGGAGGGATGCAGAGAAATGGTGCCAGCCAGCAGCACTCACAGTCTCAGAGTTAGAGTGAGGGCAGGTACACTTCATTTACTAATGAAAATCAAACTCAATTAAAACCCAGGTTGCCTTTGTCCCTTCCTCTTTCCCCACGGCCCACACGGGTATCTGGCTACCCCGGTTCTCCATCAGAAAAAAAAAAAAAAAAAGAGCAAACGAGATCTCTTTTTCAGTGGGAGGCTTTAGGGGCAGCAAGACCTTGCAGAGCGCCCTGGTCCTCCCGGTTGAGGTCAGAAACTCTGCTTGCCTGCCAGGACAAGGCTCTGGCTACTCCTTGAACAAAGACTTTGTGCCAGGGCCGCCACCCTCTGGGTTCTGCCTGTGCTGCCTTTTTGGGGCTGCCCCTGGGGGAAAGCTGAGTGCACCAGGCAGAGGTTCTCACAGCTCCACCCTTGCCATGCCCCACCTGGTTCTTTGGCTCCAGGTGCCACTGCTGCCTGTGGGAGCGGGCGAACTTACCATAAGTCTATCATGTTGATGGTGCCTCCCCAACAACTCACTAGGAATTCCTAATATTGCATGGCTCGCGTGCATATTTGTGCGTACACACACACACACACACACACCAAGATAGCGCAGGTCAGTCCCCTCTACAAGGGCAGACAAGCAAAACTTGAACTTGCCGTTGGGGAAAAAGAACCCTGGAAGCTCTTGTTGCACGCTTCCAACAGCATGCTTCATGCCTTGCAACCTTTCTTTTTTCTTTCTTTTCATTTTTTTTTTTTTTTTCACAACTAACCTGCTGGCTGAACTGGAATCATGAATGAATCGCCCTGCTGCAGTGGGGTGGGGAAGGTGAGGAGGAAGTATCCCTCTTGTTCCAAAGAGGGTGAAAATTCTAGAAAGCCAGACTTGAAATCCTTCACAAAATCTCAAGCTAATTCTAAAAGCCATTCCTACCAGGACACAGACGTTTCAAAAGCAATGAGACTCAAGACAACAGGGAAAGCAGCTCTGCTCCCCTCCGAGTAATAATGTCTGGAGTGCTGTTTTTGTTTGGTTGGCTTTTGTTTTTAATGAACTGGATTATCAGGGGTACTAAGAAAACATCTAGACAACCTGATCATTACAGGTCCCCGCTAAATCTTAGTCATCAAGGCTCCAAACCCTTCCTTGGTGGTGGTGGTGTGTGTGTGGCACGGGGGTGGGGGGGTAGAGTCTAAACCAAAATGTACCTTCATGCCACCCCCCATCCAAGCCCCCAAACCTTTCCACCAGGACAAACCTGCGGGTGGTTCTTCGGGGAAACCGGATGAAACTTCTTTTCAATGTTTTTTGATGAGGAGGGACCCCGCGGACTTGGGCAGTCCCCACAGCCCAAGGCCCTTCCTCTGCGGAGGCAAGAATGTGGAGCTGGCCTTGGCCGAGGTGTGCACCAGCAGCTGCGCCATGGCCAGAGGCAAGCTGGTGGGGGCTCCCCAAGCTGCGTTTTCGTTTTTTTTTTTTTTTTTTTTTCCAGGTCTGGCTGGAAAACAGAAAGAAGCTCCAAGCCCGGGGCCAAGAGCAGGGCGGAGGCAGGGAAGAGCAGCCAGTAAACACCGCCCCAGAAACTTCAGGAAGACAATCGCTGGAGGGAAAAAAAAAATGCTGGAAAATGCTGGGTTCCCAGAGCTAGAAATGATACTTCTAAAGGAAAAAGGGAACTAAGAGTGAGGGGAGCCCAGCGGCCAGCCTTTAGCAGCAGTCTGGTCTTCAAGCTTGCAGCCAAGTTCTCACGCTGGCTAGACTGCCACTTTCAACTTGACCTTGGCCTCCAGCCGTGTATCTGACCTGTAGGTAAAACCGCCCTGGAATCCCCGGGAACTGGAGCCTCAAACCCTACTCGGTCTCTTTGTCACTGTGAGTTTTACAATGCTATTCAGAGACAGGATAGGCTTGGGGGGGGGGGGGAGTTGGCGCGTTGTGGGCCTAAAAGTAACACAAAAACCAAGCCCCTGCTGAGGCCGGTTCCTACTGCTGCCAGCAGCCAGTCAGGGAGAAGGTAAACTGGGGGCAGATCAATATTTACAGAGAATGGCTAAAATGGGTGTGCAGGGGATATGGGGGGAGGTCATGAAGGTTTTATTGGGCGACACTGACATTGGTCAGGGCAAACTCAGGATCTAGGCAGATAAAAGCCGGAGACTGGCCACAATGGTCAGGATCTTGCAGGAAGCCCAGAGCAAGGGTGTGGCAAGCTCAGTGGCCTGAGAGAGAGAGAGCTCAGATGGGGCTGAGTCCACCAGCTGGGACCAGAGGCAGGTCCAAGCCCAGCTTGACGGTGGCCCTGCCGGGCAACTCACTTTCACTTTGAACACGGGGTTCCCCTCCTGAGCATCTGACCATGCTGACAGAGAGCAAGCAGGCAGGACCCCCCTGGAATGTTTCCTTAGAACTGGGGCAACTACAGGAGGGCTCAGAGTTTGGCAGCTCCCAGAGCAAGCGCCCGCGGGCTTCCAGGGGACGCGAGCACACTGGACAGATTTGTCTCATCCGTACTCCCGGGAGAACTAAATAGTCTCTTGGTTCCTTTTCCCAAGTAGGAAGTTCTCAAGCGCCTAGAAACTGCTGCCAGCTGGTTCCCAGAACAAGGGGCTCAAACCCCAGCCAAGCTGAAAGCCCTTGCTTTGAACTGTCCCATTCAAGGAGTAGCGGGTTAATGTGGCAGTATGTGGGAGCCTGGGGGAACCATATAGGCACAGGGCTCACTCCACCTCAGAAGCTCCAAGCTGCAGGAAGACTCCGGACCGAATCCCAGCGAAAGCCCCAGTCATGTACATGAATGTGTGCCTGAGTGTGTATTTGTGTGTCCACTGCAGGGTGTCATGGGTCCAGTCCTCTGGGCTTAAAGGTATGGAAGTACCTACACACACACACAAGCACCGCGGGCAGGGGACTCCCAAACACAGCCCAAGCTGGCACAATATCAAGTCCCAGGACCCCACCACCACCACCAGGTAGGAACGCAGGAAGCGATGAGCCAGTGAGACAAGCGCCCCGGCCCTGTGGCCCTGGAAAGAACCCGACCGCGATGTTACTGGGCATCCAAAGAGCGGATATCCCTGCCCGGGATCTGACTGCCGAAAAAGTATATATCCGTTAAGAAAGCAGACGCCCCACCACCACACACGCGCCCACGCTCCCGGAGGTTGCCCGAGGTGCAGGAGAGCGCCCAGTCCCAGCACCCTCGCCGCTCTTCCATCCCTGGCCACCGGTCGATTTACCTGACCCGTCCCTCAACGCCTCGGGTCGCAACCCACACGTCGCGTCCCCGCTTGCGGCAGCGCCCTGGTCCCCAAAGGGGAGAGGCAGAGAGAGAGAAAAAGAGAGAGAGAGAGAGAGAAGCAGGGGCTCGCAGGGGGCCGCCCACCCCTCCCGGCCCCGCCCGCACGCCTCCCCCATCCCCGCACCCCCTCTCCTCTGCCCGGGGGAGGGGGCATGGCGCACGGCGGCGCGGCCGGCGCTGGCACTGGCGCAGGGGACTGCGCGGACGCCGCCGAGCCGGCCCGGAGCCGCCCGCCTTGCCTACGCCGTGGGGCGGAGCAGGGGGGCCGGGCCAATGGGCGGCCGCCTGGCGCGACCCCGCGGGGCACGGTCCGCCCCCCTCGCTCGGGCCCCGGCCCCGCGCCGCGCGCTCTTCACTTCTTGGGGGCTTTTTAAAACAGCGCCACTGGGGTCTTCTCCATGCGGCTCGGGATATGACAGCCTCCGTGCTCCTCCACCCGCGCTGGATCGAGCCCACCGTCATGTTCCTCTACGACAACGGCGGCGGCCTGGTGGCCGACGAGCTCAACAAGAACATGGAAGGGGCGGCGGCGGCGGCGGCGGCTGCTGCGGCGGCGGCCGGGGCCGGGGGCGGGGGGTTCCCCCATCCGGCGGCGGCGGCGGCAGCGGCGGCCGCGGGGGGCAACTTCTCGGTGGCAGCGGCGGCGGCGGCGGCGGCGGCGGCCGCAGCCAACCAGTGCCGCAACCTGATGGCGCACCCCGCGCCCCTGGCGCCACCGCCGGGCGCAGCCGCCGCCGCGGCCGCCTACAGCAGCGCGCCCGGGGAGGCGCCCCCGTCGGCCGCCGCTGCTGCGGCCGCTGCGGCCGCTGCCGCCGCCGCCGCCGCCGCGTCGTCCTCCGGAGGGCCCGGGGCGGCTGGACCGGCGGGCGCCGAGGCCGCCAAGCAATGCAGCCCCTGCTCGGCGGCGGCGCAGAGCTCGTCGGGGCCCGCGGCGCTGCCCTACGGCTATTTCGGCAGCGGCTACTACCCGTGCGCCCGCATGGGCCCACACCCCAACGCCATCAAGTCGTGCGCGCAGCCCGCCTCGGCCGCCGCCGCCGCCGCCTTCGCCGACAAGTACATGGATACCGCAGGCCCCGCAGCCGAGGAGTTCAGCTCCCGCGCTAAGGAGTTCGCCTTCTACCACCAGGGCTACGCGGCCGGGCCTTACCACCACCACCAGCCCGTGCCTGGCTACCTGGATATGCCGGTGGTACCGGGCCTCGGGGGCCCCGGCGAGTCTCGCCACGAGCCCCTCGGGCTGCCCATGGAAAGCTACCAGCCCTGGGCGCTGCCCAACGGCTGGAACGGCCAAATGTACTGCCCCAAAGAGCAGGCGCAGCCACCCCACCTCTGGAAGTCCACTCTGCCCGGTAAATGGCGCCCCCCCTTCCCAACCCGGGGCTTCCGGCTCCATTCCAGCTGCTTCACTCGCGCCCCCCCGGCTCACCCGGTGGCCCTCTCTGCGCTCTCCCTAGCCACCCTCCCCCACCCCAGCATCTCGGCTCCCCGGGGAGCCTGACTCCCACCCTACCCCACCCCCTGGGCTGGCTGGTGTCTGGCCTTTCTCTAGGTTGAGAGGTGGCTGGGTGGGAATTCGTGTGGGGACCTCTCTCATCAGAGCCTCACCGCGTCTTCCCCTGCGCCCTACCCTGCGCAGCACTTGACAGTGACCTGACGGTGAAGAACGGACCTGAAAGCCAGCTTGCCAAATTGTCCCTGTCCTTTCTGTCCAAAGAACGGCTCCAGCGTAGGGCCAGCGAGTGTTGGGGCTCGGGGCGTCCAAGGACGAGACCGTGTCGTACCCTGAAGTCTGGCGCCGAGGTGTGGGCCGCTGGGCCGCGTGGAGTGGCAAGCGCGCTGCGTACGCAGGCTGAGGCCGCTGCAGACCCCGGGCGCCCGCAGATCTAACCACCCTCCTCACCGACCCTCCACGCTTTGGCAGAAGGCCGGGCTGCCCGTGCTGCGCGTGGCATGGAGCAAACGGGTGCTGCGAGGCGGGCGGCTCAGGCAGAGCGGTGGCCTGCGCTCCGGCGGGGTGCTGACCCCCTGTGTAACTTGCCTTCTCCCGTGTCTTGCAGACGTCGTGTCCCATCCCACGGATGCCAGCTCCTACAGGAGGGGGAGAAAGAAGCGTGTTCCTTACACCAAGGTGCAACTCAAAGAACTGGAACGGGAATATGCCACGAACAAATTCATTACCAAGGACAAACGGAGGCGGATATCAGCCACGACGAACCTCTCCGAACGGCAGGTCACGATCTGGTTCCAGAACAGGAGGGTCAAAGAGAAAAAAGTCATCAACAAACTCAAGACCACTAGTTAATGGATCCAAAGTGGAGTCGTGGGGGGTGGGGGAAGCTTGGAGAAACTTCCGAAGCGGAGGCTTGACCCAGGTGAGGGTCGCGGGGACGCCAGACCATAACTGAAGGATGGAAAAGGGAGACCGCCATGCTGCGCTCACCCAGGGCGACCCCTGGCTCTTCAGTGGAACCTACAGCTCCTTCTGCTGCACCTACTGCTACTTTTTAACAACTTTAAGAGACGGTCAAGAACAAGACCGCCACTTCTTCCGCCAACCCCAACAAGATGCTTAAATGACAAACTCTAAAGGCAGACGCCTGCTCCCCTCCTCCCCAAATATGCAATTTCACCAGAGTTACGTATTTACTGAGATCTTGTAAGTATTTGTGTGGCCGCTATCTTTTAGGGCACTGTCTTAGAGGGTTAGTCATTGGAACGCTGGTTACAAAAAAGCAAGGAAGAAGCTGTTGTGAGCATCTGCGTGTCTGTCTGAGCTGTCATCCCCTTTGCATGTTAAGTGCCTGCTCAGGTAAATCTGTAAAGAACTTCCTATCATGCTATATTCTGCACAGAAAAAAAAAATCCACCTCAAAGCTGTTTCCATGTGCAGATTTAGGGGAGAGGGGAGAACGTACTGAGTAAGTTTGGACTGTTTATTGCAAAAGGAGGAAGGAGAGAGTCTGCTCTTCCAAGGACTGCTTGTCCTGGAATAGACGCTTCGAGCCCCTAAGGCTGAGAGGGAACCCCAAGTTGGCCTGATTCTTCGCAAGTAAGTTCTCATTGCTTCTAACAAGCTGTGTGTGTGTGAAAGGAAAGAGAAAGACTTGGATTCTGTATTCACTGCTGCAACAGCAGCCATTCCTCCCAAGAACTGGGTATTTTAAATATTTCAGTTTTCAGAGAATCCACTGGATCTCTTGATGGCAGTTCTCACGGAGCCATGATGGGCATTGGTTCAGAACACAATTTTTTTTCTCCTTCACTCAAGTTGACATTCTCCAATATTTGCTACACATTTTGCTGGGGGGAAAAAAAAAACATTTTTTCTCTCTTTTAGAAAATTCATCATGAAAACTATTACCCCGAAGTGTCTGCATGTGTAAATGCTCCGTTTAGACCCACAAAGGAATTTGTGGGTTTTTTTTCCCTCTCTCTCCATTTATCATGTCGTGGAGACCACCTTAGAAAGTACAGGGATCCCACTTCATAGCACATTTTCAATCCAACAGTTGTTTTCAACCAGCACATTGGTTTTTGTTCAATATTCACAATTATTGCTATCTTGTAAATACAGATCCTGGGCACACTGTGAACAAGTACCTTTGCACCTGCGTTTAAGTACTTCTAGTAAACATGGAAAAAAAGTTGCCTCTATAGGTAATGATAGAGCGGTATTCCCTATTGCACGGTAGTCACTGCAGTAGAGTCTAAAAGACACACTCGTGACTTTGCTGTGCCGAGTGTGCACCACACGGAAAGAAAAGGAACAGGTTTGTCTTAAACAAACCGTGGACCATTCTTCTCGATTCTTATTTTTTTTAATGCTACCACTTTGTTAAGGAAAGGGAAAAACCCCTCCCAACTAAGGTCCTGAACACTGTAAGTGCATTAAGGTGATTGTAGTGGCATGCATCCTTAAAGGGAGAACGCAGAGATAGGGTGAATTTCCAGGCTCCCTGTGGAAAATGAAAAACAGTTGTTTAGCCTCAGCAACACCCCGGCTGCCGTATTTTAAAAATCTGCCATTGGGTCTGCCTGTGTTTTAGAGGGCAGGTTGTGATATTTGTTGAAATGACAGGACTAAGAAAGGCCTTAAACCTTGACCTTGAGGGGGGAAAAAAAAGACAATTTGTGACCTTGACTTTTGACAGCTCATGAATTGGTCTCGGCTGGATTAGTAGATCAAGGGCGCCACCTGGTGTTGACAAGCCTCCTTGTAATTCTTCAGCTTCAAGGGACTTGAGAGGGAGCGAACTCTTAGCCCCTGGACTTGTTTTTGGAGATTTTAGTACTTATTTCTCTAGCTTCACATGAAGCACATTTGAATATATGTAAATTATACCTGTGCCTGTATATATGTGAATGTATCATCTGTGTGTATACATGTATACATTTGCATCCCAGTGCTTGTGTGTGCTTGTATATAAGTTTGTAGAGTCTGTACAGATATGGTATCATTCATTCATGGCTGATGACATGTTTGTAATTTAACGTGATTTCTAGAGTGGAGGTACAAAATGTACTTGACTGTGAAATCTTGCCCTTTTCTTTCACGTCCACATTTGACGTCTCGCGCCTTGCACAGCATTGTGTTTCTGCAGGTCTGCTTTGAAAGCTGTAGCTTTTCTTGCCACAGCCCAGGAGGGCTCCCTAAGTCACCAGGCTTCCTTGGCGCACCCCCCCAAGGTGGTCCTGCTATCCTAATTAGAGCGATCAGGGAGTCTTTACGGCAAATAAAAGTTGTGGACGTCTCGCTGACTCTAGGGGTTCTAGGGTTACATTTTCAGAAATTGAAAGAGACCCACCCCTCAAGAGGTCAGTAGAAATTTCAGGAGCTCCTGTCCACCGAATGACCTGCAGAGTATGGAGGCGTGGGGAGACTTCCCCTGGAGATGTGAGCGCTGAGTACCGCCTCAGGCAGTATGCCATCTTCTCTGGCTATTTGATTTGTGGCAGGAGTAAATGTGTTTAATATTAACAACCACCATCAAATATAGATTGCTAAGTATTACATCTACCGTTCATTGACAACCCCTCCCTCCGACAACACATCGAGTGCTGTGTTCAGAGCCATAAATAACCTATGTACTTTTTTATACCGAAAATGCCGGGAGCCAGCGTGTTTTCGTCAAACGCTGGTGGAGCCTGTGGCCTTGGGGATGTACAGAATTTCGAGTTGCAGATTCCTCCTTGTGTCTCTCCGGGAGGAGCGTCATCATGAATGCTCATTTTCTTGGAACATAACATCACTTGGTGACAAATGCTGCTGATGGAAAAAGCTGTCTGGCCTTGCCCGAACAGCGACTTGTGGAAAGGAGAGAAGCTCTAACTGCCTCCAAGGAGGATGGTCTCAGGACGCACACACGGAGCCAGCGGCCTGCTAGGAGACAGCCTGCGGAGGCTGCCCCCAAGGACTCCCAGCCCTGAGATGGACACAGAGCTGCAGACTCAACTCCCGGAGTGGAGTCTTCCCCACCTCTCGCACTACACCACAGCACAGGGGCTCTCAAAATGTCTGCAGCCTTGGCACAACCCTCCTCCAAGCACACTGTGTGTTAAAGCAGCTCAGAGCAGCCAGCGGGACGCTCTTCCTCCGAAGAGAAATATTTTGCTTTAGATGTGAGAAAGATTGTGAGCCTCAAGCCCAGGCCCAAGGCAGCAACAGCTCCGCAGCCACCGGACTCGGTTCTCGCCAAGGCGCCACCCTGCACCGCAACCCTGGGTAAAGTAGCAGCCTCTAAATGCACCCCCCCCCATGCTTTCCCTCCTGTTTTTGAACCTTTTATAACAGAAGAAAGAGCTTTCAACCACCCTCCCTCCCACCACAGTCCTAAAATGATGGTGATGGTGATAATCGCGTCTAACTCCACTCTTATTTAAAATGTTCATCCGTCTACCAGATAATGCAAGGCGGTTGTGGGTAGACTCCTTCACGTCCCGGTAGAATCAGTGACAAAACTTTGGGGCGGGGGAGGACCACAAGGTATCCGGGAGGGTGCCACCCTCATCTTGGAAAAATAGGGAGAGTCAGACACAACGCTGACCCGTCACGAACAGTGTTCTGAGAAACCTGCTTGAAAGGTTATTTTTTTTTTCTAAAAAGGAAACTCTGCTTGAATTTTTAAAATTATAAATATGAGACTTTTTAAAAAACTTGCTTTTTCCATCTGCTCTTACTACTGTCAAATTTATGACGTTATTCTAAATGGATGATTGTAAAATGCCATTGTGCATTTCACTACTATTTATACCTGATGCAGACCCGAAACTATCTGTTCAAAAAAAATGTTTGAACAGAAAGGGAAAGGATAAAAAAAAAAAAATGTAAGGGGCGGGGAGGAAATTATTTATTTTTTGAAAAAAAAAATGCAATCTTATTGAAATGGTTTCTTAAGATTCAGCACAAGGGAGCACAGTCTAGCTGGGGGGTGAGACATTCGTGGGAGGGCGGCTCTCAGCATGAACCCGGACCACACTGCCCAATAATGCGGGCATATTGCGCTCTGCTGCCCGCCTTGGTTCACGGGAGTTTGGTGAAGACGCGGCTGTCTCGCTCCCCACCGCACCCTTGTCCTCTCTCTGCGAATCCCGGGTGTAAGAGCTCTGGCTGAGGTCGCCGAGTCAGTGGGTTAGAGGCGCCCTGGTGGACTTGGCGGTCCTCTGGTGGACTTGGCGGTCCTCTGCTGGGGAGACACTGCGAGGGGCTTGTTGATTTACGCACATTCCTCTAAACTTGATCAAATGCGTGTCAGCAGCCCGAGACCTGGAGAATTCAGACAAATGTGCAGCGAGTTGCCCACGTCCCATTTTTCATAAGCAAAGATGGAGCCTTATCCCATAGGCCCCGAGGAGATTTATGCGCAAGTTTTAAGACAGGCATGCTAATTAAGCTTTCCTCCGCTCGGCCGCCGCCGGGTCAGTAACAGCCAGCTTCAGGCTCGGCCAAAATGTCCGCTCAGGCCTCGCGTCCATCAGCGCCGACCCACGCCGGACACCGGCTTGCTTTCTATTTTATTTTATGTTCAAGGGAAGGGCAAAAAGGACGCTGGCGCAGAGTAAGTCCCTCGGTTGAGGCAACCTAGGCCCTTGCCACCCTGAATTTTTTCTGTGCTCAGTTCGCAGCGGCACCCACCGCATCGCGGAAATCGCCCAGCCGCGGTGGGATCGCCGCTCGGTGCCGCGCCCAGGGGCGCGGGGCAAGACACATGCGAGAAGCGCTGCCGGGGAACCCGAAGAGCGCTGGGGGTCGCCACGGAGGCGCGATTCTCCGGTCGGGACTAGGCTTGTGGACCGGTTAGGGGCATGCGGCAGCAAGAACGCTAGCAGAGGCCGAAGCCGGGACCCCGGA